CAGAAGTATTTACAGGGTTGGTCAGCCCTTAAACGTACAAAGTGACTCCTAAGAGATTAGGAGTTTCTACTTAATTATTTTGGTGGGATTGCTTAGTAATTGTCTATGATTTTCTTGATTTTTCATGGTTTGGTACTGAATTAGGTCAAGAGTTGATTTTGTGGGGTTAGTATATTAAGGGATAGTTGTTTTTAAGAGAGTGAATGGAGATAGAATTCACCCAAAACAAAAATTTCAAAATGTTGTGCAAGTAGTTATTGACAATGGAAATAATTACGTGTTAACCGGTAAGAATTATTCTTAACTCTCAAGTAATATCATTTAAACAATTTGTATTCATATTTTATTAGTTTCTAATTTCAGAATATGCAATTTAATTTTAGGTAAGTTGTTGCAAGCTAAAAGATAACATTTGTTTTGGACTTTATGCGCTGCACACTGTATTGATTTGATGTTGAAAGACATTGAAAAAATATCGAGAGTTAAGAGAACAATCCAAAGAGGAGTTAGTCTTGTGGATTTTATTTATAATCATTCATTGATTTTGAACATTATGAAGAGGTTCACAAATAAAGCTGAATTGGTTAGATATGGAGTGATAAGATTTGCCACAACATCTCCCTTTGGTTTAAGTGGAGCAAAAAGACAAAGGACTATAATGGTTCTTGATAAGATATTTGTTTAATTTTTCATTTTAATGTAATTATGCAGATATAACAGAAAAGGCTAATAAGTTATTGCATAACTTGCAGCTGAATGGTGGAAGAATTATTTAGTACGTATGCCACATTTACAAAACATTGTCATTAGAGTGTTGAGTTTGACTTGTAGTTCATCTGAATGTAAACGAAATTAGAATACTTTTGAGCAAATAAGTAAATGGCAAGTAACTTCAATTTAAAGTTCTTGATCTAATATTGAAAGTGCAAAACTAATATATATTTTTTATGATAAAATAGATCCATTGTAAAAAGAGAAGCAAACTTGAGCATCAAAGGTTGCAAGACTAATGTTGCAAGACTTAGTTTTCATTAAATATAACTAAGCTCTTAATGAATATTCTAAAGTGTTCTGATGTGGTGGTCCTATTCTCTTAAAAAATGTTGATGATAGTAATGATTGGTTGCTAGAAGGAACTGTTGGAGATGATGAAGATGACGTAGATGAATTAATGTTTGATGATGATAACTTGATTTGGGGAGCTGTTGCCAATGCAATTGGGACTAGTGAACCTATAACCTACACTAGGTGACAAGTTAGATCAAAACCCAAGGCAACTCCAATTGTTTCTTCCTCAAATCTCAGAGAAAAGCAAAAGAAATCGTACAAGAAAAAAAAATGTGATGATGAAGACTCTGAAGAAGAGGAGGAGGAGGATAAGGAAGTTCTCCACAAAAGTAGGGATGAAAGTCAAAATAAAAAAGACATGACAAATCTTAGTGATGAAAATGATAATAACTACAAAAATATTTTTATTTGAATTAAATACTTAGTATTTTTAAACATCTAAGCATTAAAGACTTGAATTTATTTGGTTCCTATATTTTGTTGTTGTTATCGACATTTGACATGTGTTATGTTTTTAAACTTTTACTTTTAATGAGAGAAAGGAAAATGGTAAGTATTGAAGTGTTTACCCCTCCAAGGTGTTTGGTTCTCTTGAAAGATGTTGATGATAGTAATGATTGGTTGCTAGAAGGAACTGCTAGAGATGATGACGATATTGTAGATGAAAGTGTTAGATGATGATAACTTGACTTGGGGAGTCAATGCCTATGGGGCTAGTGAGCCTATAACCTCACTAGGCAACAAGCTAGATGAAAAATCAAGACAACTACAATTGCTTCTTCCTCTAAATCTAAGAGAAAAGGGAAAGAAATTATACAAGAAGAAAAAGGATGTGATGATGAAGACTCTAAAGAAGAGGAGGAGGAAGTGTAGTGATGAAAATAAAAATGAAGACATGGCAAATCTTGGAGATGAAGATGATAATAACTATTAAAATATTTGTATTTGAATTGAACACTTGGTATTTTTAAACATATAAACATTAAAGACTTGAATTTATTTAGTTCCTATATTTTGTTGTTATTGATATTTGACATGTGTTATGTTCTTAAACTTTTACTTTTAATCATTAATATTGCATGTCTTTAATTTGGGTCTTAACTTTATATTTTTCAGCATATATATGTGTACCTTAATTTATATTAGGTATATTTAAAATGCCTAAAATAGCAGTCATCTTACTATCCGCTATCTCACTGTAGAATTTTTGGGATTGGCCACTCCGCCCTACTATCCAGATTGACTACAATGATTACAACAATCTTCCAATCACCTCTCAAGGCTGAACCGAGGCATGCAAGGTCATACAATGAAGAGCAAAACATCTTTTTATGAGGACGGTTCACGCAAGGTCAACATACAAACAAACAAACATCATATATCAAAATTATACAAAGATCACATTCTTGCAAACACTTTTCCAAGGCTGAACCACCGAGAGCATGCAAGGTCATACAATAAAGCACCCATTTTTGTGAGAATGGATCATACACAACCAACATGCATTCAAGTTCTCAACAAGGTTTCTACTTGCATGGCTATTCCAAGGATTCCCTAAGCAAACACGTGAACCTCCCCTTTTACCTTGCTTGTGTAACATCAATGAGAGAAAAGAAAATGGTAAGTGTTGAAGTGTTTCCCCCTCCAAGGTGCTTGGTTCTCCTTTGTTCCTCCAAGTAAGGTCATAGTGTGTGCCTTGGGGGTTGTGCTCTTTTGATTAAATGGAAGAGAAAATGGAAAGATGGTGGTGGGATCAAACTCAAAGTGATGTGGAAGGAAGCAAGAGTTTTGCCTTAAACTTACCTGTAAGGTCTTGGCTTTCTTGGACAAAGAAAGGAAGAAACTTCAATGAGTGATGAAGCTCGGCAGGCAGTGTGAAATCTCATGTCTTGGAGCTTAGAAATGGCCTTGAATGGCTGGCTATGAATGAAGGAGTAACTTCTCAGCCTCTAGCTGTAGGTTCGCAAAGTGGAGAAATGCATCAAATTTTTGGCTTTGCTTGGAAGCATTTCTCGGTGCAGTGAATAAGGTGGTAAACTAGTGGCATAATGGTGCAACACCTTAACCCTTTTCACCCTTGAAGGTATAGCAGCTTTGCAATTTGTTGAATAATTGTAATTTCCATGGCCATAAAATCTTGCTTGTTCGATTACCTAATTGCCTAAGGAATATTAAGTTTTGAACCTGTATATTTGGCTAATAAAAACCGAGAATATGCAGGCCGTATATGCCATTCATGTGTGGAGCCTTTCTTCCCTAAATCCAAGACCACTAAGGCTTTGTTTGTAGAGTAGACTTGACATTTTGGAGGTGGAACCTCAAAATTTGTCTAAGGGGCATGACCGAGAATGTTAACCATGCATGTCTATCCATATAATTTGAGTTTTGGAATCCTATCCTAAGCCACTAAAGAAGAATACAATGGTGCAGCTGGACAGAGATTGGAACAAATTCAGATTTGCATGCAAATTAGATAAGATATTAAAATACCGAGAATGTTGTGCAAGTGGTACGATCTCAAGCTTTAGCCAATATAAGCATTTCTACGGGCAGAATTTTGGTTCCAACATACCAAAATCACAGAGTCCTCATTATGCATTTCAAATGGAATATTACAAGTGTAAAGATTTTGTATGCAAGGTGTGAAAAGGTTAGGAATTGTCGTGAACATAGGCATGCATAAGGCCAAGACTACAAGGTGCAAAATCATATAATTTAAGGCTTGTACCAATGGACATAGGATGTTGTTTCCTAATTCCAAAACTACTAAGTCCTTGTAATCTAATGCAATAGGATTTTGGAAGAAATGTGATGAATGGTATGCTAGCTCCCTAAGGTCTAACCGGGAACAATTTCAAGGACTAATGTAATTAACCAATTTCAACTAAATATTTCCTGGCTCACTCTATTGAAATTGCCAACAAATGGAGTAAAGCAAGTAATCAAATCAACAACAGTATAGTAAACAGGAAAGGAAAGAAATGAAAAAAATATATATATCCACCAAATTGGATTTTAACTACTTTCTCTTAATAAGACATCTATTTAGCCACACTCACTTTCACACTAAAAGGGGTGTTACATGCTTTGTAATGAATTAACATAGAAAATTCTAGGTTGGAAAATGGTAGTTGGTTTATGATTTCCACTTGATATGAAGTGGAAGATTCCTTAAAATAAGAGATAGATGTACTAAAATTATTAAAATAGACATGGTTAATTGGATTGAATAACATTATGTATAGACATAGAAGCTGAGGGTCTAGTTTTGACCACAGGAGATAGTTAAGTACACATATTAGTAAAGAAACCAAGCCTAGCTAAGTTATGTTGCTTTTAGTGAATTTGCATAATTATCCTGACTTGCACTTAAGCTAACCATGATTCTTGAAAGTGCGAACAAGGAGTGACCATACTATTTTGAGTGCACTCTATACTGAAATTAAGAATTGATTGTACCTTATGCCACTACCTAGATTGCTGGCACAAAACTCCTAATCACTCATCCATAATAATTGAGAATTAATTAATTAATTACCCCATTGAGGATTAATAAACATCGAGAAAAATCTAAAGATAACATTGATTGATGGTGTGTTTTTTTTTCTAAGTAATTTATTCTTCATGAAATAATTTTTTAGTTTCACTCACTCTTTTTGTTGTGCATAGATGTAAATTTTGGAAGCCATATGAATTTCAACCTGGTTCCTCATTGTATTGTCTTTAAAGCTTTGGAGCTGGGTTGTGGGATTTTAATATAGTAAATCAAATCATATCTATACAGAGAATGTCATGAATACCATATTTTAGATGGGTAACTCGTTTGATATACCTGCAATCCTTGCAGGAATGTAGAGGATCCTTCTCGTGTAACTACTCATCTCCCTTAATATTCTCATTTTTGTCACTTTTACTTTTTTTGTTTTCCTATAGGATGTAGGAACAGGAAGCCTGAAGCCTACCTAATGGCAATTGCCACCGATTAGCAGTGTTATTTCATTTTGTTCAAAATTGTTAGCAGCTGAGATAGACATCAATTGAAATTTGGGACTCAACAATCATTCCCAAAACGTTCCTTCAAAGTTCAATTTTCATTATACCATGCATTTGAAAACATCGTTAGCAACAAACAAGGAGAATCAGGGAAGGAACCATATTAAAATAAGCATATAACTGGTGAGGGGATGAAGGGCATATCATTCTCAATTTCCATACACAAGTGTATAAAGAATACCTGAATGCATTACTTCTGCTACAGTAGCACTGGATATCAGCACTATTTTCAATCGTAGATATCATTTTCTTAATCCAATTTCTCTGATGTGGTTAGAACAGAACTTCTTATCCAAGTGTATAGAAGTCACATAAAATAGGTAAATGCAAAATCGGCCACCAATATTAATCAGTCATCAGCATCTTCCTGTGGAATATCCTCACCAAACCATCTAGGAGGATCGTATCCATACCCACCTAAAGGCATACAAGGAACTAAATTATAACAGGATTAAAGCAAAATTGTAGCTTAAATTCAGAACCAAAACTACAAGTAAGCACAATACAAATCGAAGTTAATAGTAAATACCAAGGGGATTGCAACGACAGAGACGCCACGCCGTCAAAATTGTACCCTTCGCAACTCCATACCTCTTATAAGCCTCCATGGAATACTCACTGCAAGTTGGAACGTAACGACAACTCTTGGGCAATATCGGTGAAATTTCCCCTGCACACATGGACAACATCAAATTCACAATCAGCAAGCTAATGCGTGGTTGGATAACTATTAAATTTGAGAAATAATCGCTTTTCTCAATGGCAAGATAAAGCATTATATTTACAGAAACAAGATAAACCACATGGTATAATAAACAAACGTCAAGGAAAAATGATAAAGTACATGAAATTCCTATTTAAATTAAAAGTTTAGAACCAATTACAATTCCTCTAATGGCAAAGACCTATTGGAATTGTCAATTGGTTCTTACCGTTAAGTTTGTAGTCATTTACGTTAATTAGTGCAAAATTTAACAGAATTTATGAAAGAAAAAGGAAAATTTTATTTGGTACGAAATATACAACACAAATTCACGAAAAGAAGTTATAGCATAGAAAGTGTTATCTTTTCTCTCTCCTAATCTTGTGTGGTCATTCTGAAATCCGATATGTTAAGTTGAAATTCATGCAAATTCGTAACAATACATTGGTACTGTATAGCATTTCTAAAAGAAAAAATGGATACTCTTGTAGAATCTCAACATGGACAGCGCAGCTTTGACTCCTAAATTATTCACCTCGCCATCTGAGAACCGATTAACAGTCAAAATCAAATTCCGTGACAATTGAATTAGCTTTGCATGTGTGTGGGTGAGAGAGAGAGAGAGAGAGATCACCTTGTTGGGTTTTAGCGTTCGAATCTTCATCCAATGCACGAACGATTAGGGTGCAATGTCGTACGGTTATGAAAGGACAATAGCGTTGATTGATGTTGTGTTTAAGGGAAGAAGAATTAGGGTTTCGAATTGGGATGGGAGGATAGCGGTTGAGAGGTAGAAGAAGACTAGCCATGGGTCAAGCTCCAACACGCGCCAAACCGCAACGACGCCTTGTGACCAGCGCGCAAAGTTCAGTGAATACAAAATTGGGCTTATTGAGAAAAGATAATGGTTTTTCAAGCTAACTCACTAAATAATGTTGATATTTTAGTAATTTTGTGATAAATCTAAAAATAATGGTTTTTCAAGCGAACTTAATAAAATAATGTTAATATCTTAGTAATTTGTGATAAATCTGCTTAAAATGTTTTTTTCATAATTATTATTAATTTAAAGGCCCTAAGATGAGTTAGTATATTAAGTAGCTCACAAATAAGTTAGCAAAATGACATGTTATATATAGCAAGTTTTAAAAATTTAAAACTTAATCTTTATCAAATTTTACAAATAAAAGACATCAATTTCTTAGATATTTAGAATAGATTTTTTTTAACATAATTCTTTTCAAAGTTAAAAAAGAACATAATTGTTTGTTCACATGAAATCATACCATATTCTCTTAAACTCACTCTCATCTTTGTTTCTGAAGAAGTTAAGTAATTCTCTGTTGTAATATTATTCCAGAAATTTTGTTTAATTTCTCTTCCTTCTATTTCAATTCTTTCTTATTTTCCCTCCTTAATAGCATGCAAACTCGTTTCTCATATCTACCTTAAACCTACATAATCATTATCCCTTTCGATTGTTATACTTTCAATTGTAAGATTTCCGTATTTGAAAATAGCGTATACTCATCCCAATTATCTTAAAAATCATCATTTTTGTTTGATCAGAATAAGTGTAATGACTAATGTAACACCTTAAATTTAATTTTCAATAAATAAGGGATTTCGTAAATTTCTGAAATAATAAAACTTCCATTTTTAATCCAAGTTTCATCAAACATTTCAAATAAAGAAAGGAGTTACAAATTTCATCAAACAGGTACTACATGACTTATTCAAATACAACAGTTTTCAAAATAACATCCTAAGTCCTATAGTAGTTTCATCCACCCTTTTTACTGAGTTTGGTGCTGATCGTCTTGATTACCTGAAAAATGAATGTAAGGGTGAGTACTCTACACTACCCAAAAACACACGATCAGCATAGAGTCTCACTTCCAGCACATTTTCAATACATTAAACAAATACAATCACAGGCAGCATTATCACATAGCTTATGTCAATTTAACACCGATGCACTCACGGCATCGACAACACTTCACATCCATAAGTACAATTCATAAACCCATGCATACACACGCCAGCCACACTCACTGTGGCACTATGATCATAGATTTATACCATGAATGGTCGCCGGTTACCCCCGCCTCACGGATATCACGTGGGCAGTCAAGGTCACTCAGCAAAGATAGTGGTCAGAGGTCTAGTCAGGAAGAGAGTGTGTGGCTTGTGGTACACCCGTTCCACAGTCGGTGTCACCCCTACTCCATTTTTCCTAAGGTATTTCTACCGTCCTCATCTTCCACACTTCCAGTGTATCGCTGAACCATTCACAGCACATTACAACGGCGCTACGCGCCCTATTCACATACATTTCATTCACACACGCAATATTCATGCTTACAAACGCACACAGCCCACATTTGCATTTAAATACACGGCACTAGGCCCACATTCATTTCACATCACACGGCACGTAGCTAATACTCATTTATATTACACGGCCCTTGGGCCCACATTTGTTCACAATATCATTAATTCACCAATCAATGGCATTCCATCACACACAATCACCCCCATGGGGCCTAACTATTCCAGCACACATCACATTGCACACCAATTTCCATTCAACACGCAATTTCTACTCCCTATCTCAACCACATTGCATTAATCAACAAAACACACAAGAATTATAACACATTGAGATAGGGTAGAGTCCCCCCTTACCTTGGATTAAAGACCCACACTCGGATTCGACCACGAACATGCTCCCTACACAAATTTCGACCTAAAACACATGGAAGAACTCCATGAGAATCCAAGGAAACCCAAAAACAGAGAAAAGGGGATGAGAAACGGAACCCTAACCATTAAAACTCACCTCCAAGCATTCTCCACTCGGATTCAACCCTCAATCAAGCTCACAAACGGCTTTGGAAGTAATTTAATCGGTGAAAAAAGGTTTGAGAACGAGAGGATCAAAAGGATTTAGAAGGGAGAGGAAGAAATAACCCTCCCTGAACCCTAACCCCCTTTAAATCCTTTTCTGGTCACGACACTCTCGCTACAGCGACACGCCCTCTCGCTGAAGCGAAAATATCAGACGAAATTGCACCCTAGTTTCTGCAGAATCTCGCTACAGCGAGACCTTCTCGCTACAGTGAGACTACACTCAGAAATGCACCCCAAACTGTCGCTTTCTTGCTACAGCGAGAAGGTGACAGTTCTAGTCCTTCCTCCCAAGGCCGTCTTGCTACAGCGAGAATTCTCTTGCTGCAGCGAGAACAGCCCAGAATTACTCCTTGCACTTAGGCACTTAGTCTATTTTAGCCCTATCTAGTCATGCATACACACAATACACACATCCATATACTTAATACACATAAACATCATTATCAAGTAAATCAACACACACATATATATGCATTTAGATTTATATAAATAACAATAATTAATATTACAAAATTTGGGGCGTTAGTCACGCTTACTATGGTACTGTGATCACAGATTTCTGATGCCCTCAACCTCAGGGACTTAGTTAACACTATGGATGGTCATTGAATAGCTTCTGCTCCACGGATACGTGTGCAGTATTGAGCCCCCAAGCAAAGGTATTAGTCAAAGGCCGAGCCAATAGGAGAGTGTATGGCCTATGGTGCACCCATGCTCACTATTGGTATCACCACCACCCTCTCTTTCCCAAGGTATTTCTATCGCCGTCATCTTTCATACCCCTAGTGTATTGCTGAACCATTCATAGTTTTTCAACATATTCAAATACAATCATATTCAACATGCCATTCACATACATTCTCGCCCATTTTATATTATTCAACATCAATCAATGGCATGTCCATACACTTCAACCACATTGCAACTAACCATTTCATCACACATTATACTCGATATCAATCACATTGCATTCCACACAAGTTCCCATTACAATCTAATTATAATCAAGCCATTCCATCACACACATCACCCAATAACTACCATATCATACTTCATACAAAATTTTTATTAAAACACATATTCTCCTATATTCTATCTCAACCACATTTCATCATCTAACATCATAAACGAAATTCAACCTAAAGAGATAGGGTAGAGCTCCCCTTACCTCGGAATGAAGACCCAACACGAAACTCAACAATCGAAATGCTCCCTGCATAGATTTCATCCTAAATACATGAAAGAATTTCATGAGAAACCAAAGAGAACTGAGAAAACAGAGAAGAGGGACAAAAACTGAAACGCCATCAAACTTACCTCAATCCTAAACCCCTAATATACCCTATGGGTTGTGACACTCTTGCTACAGCGAGATATTCTCATTGCAGCGAGTCTTCTCTCGCTACAGCAAAATTCTCAGATGATTTTTTGCACTCTGGTTTCTGTGGAATCTCGCTACAATGAGACTGCACCCAGAAATGCACTTCCTCTATTGCCCTCTTGCTACAACGAGAACGTAACAACGAGGATGCCCTACAACACACTCCAACCTATATTTTCCAATTAGTTCAGCCCAATCACAAATCAAACATACTCAGTATAGGATCAACATCCATACTCATGGTCATATACACATTCATATACATTCACATTATCACCCACATTTACACTTATATTCATATCTTCATATACATCAAATGCACATTCAAATAACAACCCACATACTTCTATTAATAACCAAATAATATTACAAAATTCGGGGCATTACAATTATAAACCTAAGCAATACACAATCTACTTAAGCCAAGGACGTAGTAGCTTAAGCGTTATATCTACAGTTTAAGTGATATATGTTTAGTTTAAGCGAAATAGTAAGTCCTTATCATTTACATAAGTGAGATAACAAATTATTAGCTACTTTATTTTATAGACTCGTTCTTATCTTCACTTAAACTATATATTTAAATTTAAAAGTAAAATATATTTTCTTCCTATTTGTTAATCACCATAAAATACCAGTTGTCCAACTAAATGCAATTTAATTAATTTGATATCATATTACTTAGTTAAGTCATATATTACGGTCACAAATCTCAAACTGAAAATGACAGAGTATAAAAAAATATACTTTTTTGTGAATTTTAATTTTTTATTATTTATTATAATTTTAATTTGGACATACATTTCAATTATAAAAGTTGACATTAATCCTAAGAATGTATTTGTAATGCTTTAAGTTTTGTAATAGTATTTGATTATTAATATAATTGTAAATTCCCATTTGAATGTGTATTTTGATTTATGTGATGATGATGTGAATATATGTGGGTATATGTGTGTATGACCATGTGTGGATGGACACGTAAATGTGTATTAAGGATGTTTGATTTGTAATTGAGCTGTACTGATTGGAAATATAGGTTAGTGTGTACTGCAAGGACATTCTCGCTATAGCAGGAAAATTCTTGCTATAGCGAGAAAGTCCATGGCGAATTAAGCGTCTCTGTTGCACTCCCACTGTAGCGAGAGGGCAACAAAGAGAGGTAGTTTTCTGGGCATAGTCTTGCTAGAGCGAGAGGATCTCGCTGTGGCAAAAGTGTCGCGAATCCTAAGGTATTTAAGAAGTTTAGGATTCAAGAAACTCATTTCCCACTTTTTCTCCTCATCCCTCTTTCAATTCTCTCCACCCTCAACCCATTTTCACCGATTAAATTGCCTCCAAAGCCATTTGTGCTGTTAGATTGAAGGTTGGAATCACGTTTGGAATATTTGGAGGTAAGTTTTATGAACTAGGGTTGTAGTTTTCGTCCCTCTTCTTTGTTTTCCGATTTCTCATGGAGTTTTCCATGTGTTTAGGACGAAAATTTGTGTGGGCAGCATTTCTATTGTTGATTTTGTGTTGGATCTTTAATCCGAGGTAAAGGGGGGACTCTACCCTATCTCATTGTGCTTAAAATTTGTTTATTTTGCTATATGTTACAACGTAGTTAAGATAGAA